CCCCCCCAATCCCACATGCATACTACCCTTTAGGGCTAAGCCCCGGGTGTATCAAATGCTGCCTACGCCTCTGATTTAATCCATATGCTTATTATCTTCTTTTTTTTATGAATAAGGGAGGCCTATTTTAAGTTAACGGGGTGCTACTTTGCACATTGCTTTCACGTGGAACTCAAAGAATCCGAAATAAAGGAGTCAAATAACATTGAGTTATCTGGAGTCACGCTTTAACTAACAAAAAAAACGGAAGTACTTGAGAGATGCGGGACAGAAGGGTCTCTTAGCGTTAGTTAACTAGTTAGCTAACATTTAGCTAGCTGGCGTTCATTAATCTTTCATGGTGCCTCAGCAGTCCCGCTGACTGACAGCTTTATGGACAATACAGCACTGTTGCCAGTGTTATCAGGGTTACTGTGACTCGACTTCCTTTCACTTTATTCGTCTATACCTGTTGCTTCAAAGCGCTGGAAAAAGGGCAAGTTATCATGTTAAAGCGTAGCTTTGTGTTACCAAGCATGAATACATTAAGTTGCCACATCAACAATCCGACTCGCTGCAAAAAAGACGAACAAGGAAACACTAGTTGCACACTTTCGAACAGCTACAATCATCAACAAATGAATATTTTGGTTTTTGTTTTCCTTACCTGGAAGAACTGACGCTGTCAGAGCCACGGACAACAGGGTCAAGCACTTGAATCCAGCGCTTCTGTGTCCGCGATACGACTGACTGTGGACAGTGTGAAGAGACCGGCGTCGAGTCAGAGACGATGTACAGCACGTCTTCCTGTCGCAATTTTCAAAATAAAATTGGCCATGGCAAATATCCTGCCACATTTCGCACATGAACGAGGGCATCAATTGTGTGCCTTATTTTTAGATATGCCGTTTTTTTTTCTAATTCGCGAATTTAAGCAGGATAATAACTACCGTGAATATAAATTATGAAAGAGTGAAGTACGCGAGAACAAAAATAGTTCTCTTTTGGGTTTCCGGTTTTAATTTAGCACTCTTTCTCTAACTTAACAAATGTGTAAAGCCAGTCAAAAGCGTAGCGCGACTGCTCCATCTACTGGACCAGCAACAGCAATGCATGTTGTCGCCTATGAGATGTGTAGTTAAATACCTTTGATTGTAAATTAGAATCTTTTATTTAATCGTATGTAATTTATGTAATATTCAACAGTAGGCTACAAAGCAAGCATGTAAGCTACTTTCAGCTGCCCCCTTTCCATAAGGAAAGGCCACAACTGGTAGCTCCGCATGTTTGATGCTCTCCCTGACACAACACCAAAGAGGATAGTGTCTTGAATGTGATTTTATTCAAGACACAATCTGTCTCAGTGTAACCCGGGCATAGATTACATATTGTTATAATTACACAAAATGTGTTCTTTATACCTGACTGTTAGGACCTCCAAGCCTGTAGTTATATTCATCATCAGTTAGAGCCCCTCCTCATCTTTTCTTCTTCTTCAGTGCAACCATGTAAATACAGTGAACCCCTTTGGCCTCTGCCCCTTTTCTACAATTCCCCTGTGGGAGAGGAGCTACAGCGAGCAAGTTATTTACTTGAGGGTCTTTCTTTCTTTTACCTTTCTTTGTCAGACACAACGCAGGAACACACCGGTTACATATGCATCTCATTTATGCAGAGAGCTGTATTTGGGCCATTTATAAAGATGACTTCAAAAATCAACCTTGCATTGGTAAGTTTAAAAAGAATAGCAGCTCAGCATAGAGCAGGATGAGTGATTTTTTTAATCAGAGAGGTTTTTTATATTTAAAAGTTATTGATTGGATGATGCAGCGATGCCAGCATCCACACACATCTGCAGGTATTTATTGAATGAGTGTGTGCTTCTATAGGTGGCATTGCTGACACTACAGATTAGTTAAAGCACTCCTCTACTGGAAATTTTGGAATGTTAAGTCACTGTTAGTTTGAAGCACAGTTTTGCAGACAATTAAGCATTCCTATGTTGCAGGGGTGTTTTCTTTCACCATCAGTCTTCACTCAGTCTTTGCTGACAGGTGTTTGGATGTGATATCAAAGTCCCCACAAGCAAACATTCCCTGAACTTCTAGTAGGCCCATGCACTGCTCTTTATGTCATAGACATAATATTGTCTAGCTAGTTAGCTGCTTAAGTATTTCGATTAGTTGTGCTCTTACCTATAAGAAATTAATTTAACATCAACTTGGTATTTATATCGGCCTAAGGTCACACAAATACGCTAAAACAGGTGTGTCAAACATAAGGCCTGGGGGCCACAATCAGCCTAGCAGACACCGTAAACCGGCCCACTGGACAGGTTTGGAAAATTTAAAGGAAGTTGTCAATTTTGGACATTTAACTGTATATTAATAGGTTTTACAGGTTTCCCCACAGATAAAGACCTCTATCGTAAATATACTTCACCAAAGTAATTAAGTAGTAGATAAATCACAATAATGTTCAAGTTATTTAAAATTACAGAAAGATTTTATAGAAGAACTCTTATATATATATTTCTGTAATTTTACAGAAATTTTTTATAGAAATGTTTTTTCACAGAGAGGAACTTTTTTTTTACAATTTAAGGCCAAAAAGTCATGCTTAGAGCACTATTTCTTTATCACATGGAAATCCAGACATGCTGTTGAAATTGCTCTTTCCTTTCTAATATAAAGATATCTCTGGCATTAAATGCACAGTTCATCTTCTTTACAATGACAGAAGGGAGTGCTTCACCTGTCCTTTAAGATCAAAGTGGGATGTATGTGGTCCGGTATTTAAATGAGTTTGACAGCCCTGCCCTAGAATATCAGTAGGTATATAGTGTATTGCAAAACAATAAGGTGACTCTGAGTTTGCATGTTCCCACTGTGTCTGCGTGGGTTCTTTGTTTTCTCTAGTTTCCTCCCACAGCTCACAAGAAAAAATAAATATCATCAAAATTTGCAGTCCTGTGTGACCTTCTAATGATAGAGACAAGTCCAACTTAATTTCTTTGTCTTTCACAATCACTGTTCAAATGTAACTTTCAAAAGTAGTTTTAAGTATTTCGCAGGAAAAGAGACACCCCTTTCCTTAAACATACTTGCAAGTTAGGCAAAATTAAGCTTCATAATACAGCCTCCACCCTGAAAAGTACAGTGCACCTATGATGTAAAATGGAGAAATATTGTTTGTTTTGTGCAAAATTACCAAGAAATTATGCAGTACTTAAAATTACTTATGGAGTACTTAATTTACTAACAGTATATTTATTTGTTTCCTGTAGAAACCAGATTTGTTACCCCCTTACTCTAGCTTGCAGACAATTAAGTATCTGTAGTTAAATATAATTAATATGTAATATCAAATAAAAGAGAGCAACATAATACATAAGTCCATCACAATAATCTGATTAAGTGTAAATAACAGTAAATACTAAATGTTGAATGTTATTGTTCAGCACGCAAGACCGACAGCACACAATGTGCTTTGAGGTCATTGAAATTCCTATTAATTACAGGGGAATTACAGCCTTAATCATAGGCTATAATATGAGGGGTTACCCATACTTTGTAAAGGTAAGCCTGAAGCATGCTAAGAATAAGCATGAATGGTCCAAAAGTCAACATGCAGAGCTAGTTAATGACATTCAGAAATTAATTTAAGTTACTTCAGCCGTTATAAAATCACCAGCAGTGGAGTGCACTGAATGACATTAACTCAAACTTTAAATTCTTCTTATGTAGGAAACAACAGCAGCCACAGTTTAAACTAAATGAAAGCACAAAGATTCCGCTGTTCTGCGTTATTTTCAGACTTCTATTGAGAAATATCAAAATTTAAACATAGGTCTTTTGTGTGTTTTCTTTTGTTTTGGTTTTATTTTGCCAAAGTCAGACATATTTGATGCAGTTCTAAAAGTGCCATAACACTTCCTTTATGATTTAAATGAAAATGTCACCACTGAAAAGTTTTTAAAAGTGACACGATTGGTTCAAAGTTAATGGTCCGTTTCTTTCTAGACTACTGCTGACAGTGTCCCGCAGCGCTGCCGTCTGGCTGCCACTAATCAGTGTCATCCTGCCTGCAGCACACCACTGTCTGCTCATGTGGTTAACAAATTCTGCAGTGACTTAACACGCATTCAGCCTCGGCCCAGGCAAGACGCTGAGACTTTTGCTGATAACAACATCTTATTTCAGGACGCATTTTTAGTCTGCTTACCTGCTTAACTCACAGCTCCATTGTTTATTTCAGTGTTTTCAGCCTTTGTCTGCCAAGACAAACACACTAGTCAGTTCATCGCTGAATGTGATGTGGATTTAGTGGATACATCAATATGTTTTAAGAGTGAAAAGTTACATTTTGCCACAATCGAATTTAAATTCATCAAAATATCTGTACAGAAGATAAAGAATATAAGAACATGAGTATAAAAAAAAATACATTTATCGACAAGGGAGAACTCCCACTCTTGGTCTTACTAGGCGGTGATCATAAGATAGTCAAGAATGAAAGGGATCCTAGAGATCTATAAATAAAGTTAAGTTAAATTAAAAGTCAAAAATAATCACACTTTCATCTCGTGGTTGAGAGAACAATAAGTTTCATTTAAAAAATTTTCATCAAAAGTTTCATTTTTAGATCATCTGCAGTGGTTTAGCTGTCGGAAAATACCTTTGTGGAAGTTTTAGGGACATTCCAGTGTCAACATCCCCTTTATGGCATTCACTTGTGGTCAGTTTTTCTTACAGATCTGTTATTGTTTTAATCTTCTGCTCTTAATGTTTAGTGTAGTTGTCATTTTTTACTGATCAAGGGACATGTCTTGTCATAAATCCTTAATCAACCAATTAGCATAATTTAGCCAAAATGCCAATTTTGCAATCAATATCTTTCTTGATCTTTCTGAGACTAAAATACAGTGGCATTGTTTTTTGTCTGGAAGCAGGTTTTTAGCTCCATTCACTCCTATTCAATGAAGATTTCTTGTAACTAGAGCCAAACCACAATTCTCACAGTTGCTAGGCGAAATCAGTCACAAAGGAGTTGCCACGGTAAAAAACACCTTGTGATTGCTTTGGATACCCTGATCGCCAATAGTTTGCATGGAAGATGCCAAATTATATGCAAGCACTCACTCACTAACTAGTAGCTGAGTTGTAATAAAACTTGAAGAAACACAAACCATAAGAGGCGAATATTCACCAGGCAGAACCATCTTCTTTTCCAATTTGTGTTGCATGTTTCACAGTCTTCTTAGTTTGTAGACAAGTCAAACAGAAACTGCCAGAGCAACCTCCTAGCAACCAAAACAATTGCAAGGAGAGAAAAAAATGAGGTGACCCTTGAACTTTGTCCCGCACAGCTAATATGTAGATGTAAGAAGGCACTTTCTTGCCCTCACTTCAGTGTATGTTTGTTAATACAACGGATGAGTAACCCCAAATTTGGTTACACCATTGTTCAATAACCCTTTCCTTTGAAAACGTTTGAAACCTTTTCATGGAACAAGCTGAAACGACTGTCAGCCACTGGATATGCATTCTTGGAGGAAGCTCTCAGGCCCTCAGTCTGTAACTTCCTCCAGCTTCTTCTGCAGTAATATCTGAAGGTACGGCAGTCATATGAGCAGAGCTGTTGAACGTGCAACCACTTAACTTGAACGGTTTCCTTCCCACTCTACTCTGCACCAATGGAAGTCATGGGATGGGGATGACAGGGATTATGCGGGTGATTGAGAATATCAT